CAACAGCAACAAGACTTTTCTTTGGTTTTTCTGTACGATTTACAAATCAATGGTTGCTTTGCAAACAGAGATCAGAAGAACTTATGTTAACTCATCTTGATGGATAGTTTCTATTATTAACGACGACAAATATCAGCATAAAAGCATACGAAGAAAAGAAAGGATATAATCAAATTTAGGGAGTTGCGGGTCCACGTTTTTATGGAACTAGACTCAAACTTGGACCCAAGAGAAGCTAAACTTCTGGATACGAAGCCACTAATGAATAAAACTTATGACTCAACGTAACCAGCTCCGAGTTTTTTTTCCACTGGTATCTAGCACCCTCTGTATGCATAAACAAATAAATAAAAAGTCAGAATTCTAACTATTTGTTAACTACTCTCAGAAAAATAGCCAATATATAGATATTTCTTATTCTTCACTTTCATATCATTCGATCCTTAATAAATTAAAAGTTTTCGCTTAATTGAAAAGAGCATTATATTAACAAACGAAGAAGTTGAACAGGTAATTGATAAACAAAATTCGTCAAATCAACAATAACACCAAAATCTTCAACTGTATGCGATAGTTTTAGTTGTATTTATTTAAACAAGATCAAGCAAAAATATGTTCTAGGCAAACAATGTAGGGAGCTCCATGTCTACGTTTTTGTGGATTCGGATCGACAATAAATTAAGTTTTGAATCCAAATCCGGAACTGGAAGGATCGACAACTCCCTAGTCAAATTAGAAATATATTTTCAAAATACAGAAATAAAATGAAATTGAAAATATAAGTTTGCAAACAAGAACATTCCTGGTAAATTGATGTGATAATAATAAAACAAACGCAAGTTCTTTTAAGTAGAAAGAAAATTATATTCATCATGAATAACAAATATTTTTTGTGTAAATATTATTAAGAGTAATTGTTTTTTTTTCTAATTTGGAAAGAATCGATTCAGCTTTATTATCATCGTATGAAAAGAAATTCAAAAGATGTAAAATTATTATGTCACCATGATGATTGTTTTTTTAAACGTCTCAAAAGCTAACTTTTATGATTTATCCGGTGTTTTTCATTCATATACTCTAAAAAAACAAATAAATATAATGAACCGAATTTTGTTCTATCACAGGCAAAATAAAATGACCTATCTTCTAGATATTCAGTCAGAAATTTAGTTCAGATGTTCGTTGATAATGTTTGTATACAACAGAACACCACATAGACCATTGAGAGCTTGCTTGCCTGCCCTTTAAATTTTTAATAAAAAAAACGTTGATATTTTTTAGAAGAAAACAGTGAGAAATGACTTTTTTTTTCATCATTTTGACTGGACACAGATTTTAGATATATTGTTCATTTAATTATTTGTTTTCCTTGTCTGTTTACATTATCTAGTCGAGTATTATTAATGGATGGTGCAAAATTTATGCGTTAATCTTGTTTTCAGTATATGGTAACCTTAACTCGTCATGAAGACTTGATTCAAAATATCTATCGAAGACTAAAAAGTTTTAAGAATATATTTAACTGAAAAAATTCTCTGCATGTCTCTGGAGTTTAGAAGAAAATCTCAATGCACCAAGCAAGTTGCTCTTACTTTCCATATTTTATCGGATTTTGTAGCATTATGATAGAGCATTGTAGACATGTAAGCTTATCGATTGAGTTCGAAATCGATATTTTTCTAACTATCTTTAGTAGTAAAAAGTGTTCACAACTAATAAATGATTTTGGGAAATAAAATTTTTTTCTAGTAATCGATGTGAGTAAAACCCTATGTTTTATGTCCAATTAGAGTATAGTGAGCTCTCTACAAAAGCATGTTATATACAATAGAACACATTTTTTTCTATTAGACGTTACAAGAAAAGCTTCATTATGTGTCGTAAAGAGAAAATCAAGCCTTTAATAAAACTATTTCCTATGAAACCTGTAGTTTTTTAACTCGAATATTTCGATACCATTAGAAAGTTCACGACGCACCGGTTACATTCATAACGTGCCTTAAATTTTCAAAAGCCGAGTGCAAAACAGATCGATCAAGTGTACTTCTAATCATTGGTTTTGTGTTAAGTTGCAAGACACTTTTCCAGTCTTCAATAGGTATTTCTAGCAAAATATTTTTACACAATTTTGGAATAAATTGAGTAGTTCTTCAACAAGAAAGCTATCGAGTCTTCACGATGATTTGCTGAAACGCTATACTGAAAATAAAATTAATGTCGAATTATGATAACACTCGATATTGTCCTCTTCAACTACTTCATCCAAATTATTCGAGACATTCATACTCATAAATAGAATTTCTGCTTTTTTTTGCAATGTATTCAATTATCATGATGAAATTAAATAGCATGTAAAAAAATACACCGGAATGCAGATTGAAGAAGTTCGTTGCCTATCATAATTAGGTCAAGCCTAAGAAAAGTAAACCTATTTGGAGTTTTGATATTTTTTGTTTATTAATGCTTTATTTTTATTCAATTTATATGAGTACAGAAATTAGACTTTAAGTCTCTGGTTTTCAATCGGTTTTGTGTTTTTACAAGTAATTAGAGTAAATCAAGTTCGAGAAACAGTCGAGTCAATCAGCTTGTGTTGTGGTGCGAAGATCATTGACTTTGATCATCGATGAGAGAGAATAATGCTCAGACAGAGTATTGAAACTCTAGAATCCGACTCAAGAGTCAGATGATAACGCCACTCAGCCAGCTTAGGCATTTAGAGCTATGATATAGAACTTTGTCTATCTTTGAAAAATGATTAGAATCTTCTATAGACACAAAAGATCAAGAAAACATCAAGATTTTTTTTTTGTTTTAGATCTGCTAATTATATCTAAAGTGATTATGAGTTAGTGTGCATATGTCAATAATTGAACAGAAGAATATTTAAAATAATTTCAATTGATAATTGCCAATAATTGAATGTTTATTTACTGACATTTGGTATGTAAACAAAAAAAAGTTCTCAAGAAAAAAAAATCAAAGATACAAAACAGCGAGAAAGACAAAAACAATTAAATTCAATGAAAATATTTATCGGTATTTAATTATTGCAGCAAGACCAACAGCAGCTAAAACAGCACTACCCATTGCAATATATGTCCACCAAGCATTATTAGTCTTGTTTTCAACCTATTATAAAATAAATTTTTAGTTTTTTTTCTGTTTGTCTATAAAACAAATTCAAACCTTTTGAATAGTTTTTGTTTGAAGTTTTTGATCAACTTTTGTTGATGTAGAAGGTGAAAACATTCGTTTATAAATTTCTTTTT